GAAGAGAAAATGTAGGAGAAAATTATTAATATTTTTCTTTTTGATTCTTGAGCTCGCTATTGTTATGTGAGGTTTGGGAAGAGATTGTTCTTAGTATTCTCCTAGTTTTGTGTTTGAGATATTGTGCGATTATACAATTTTACTCAAATTGGAACATCCGTCTTTCACCATCCGTGGCTTTTCTTGTATTTTAATATTTTTCACTTGCACTCGTGTATTTTTAGCTATTTATATTTTATGTTCTTCTTGAATCTTGATTTTTTCTTAAATCCTAAACGATGAATCTAGAAATCGGTCCGATTCTCAACAATTTAAAATTCTCAAACCTTTTATATATTCTTATCGTAATATATGAATTCTCTCTCGTAAAGAACAAACTCCCGAATGATTTATTTTGGCAGGAAGTGTTATGCCATTTCACATATATAATCTACTTAAACTTCATGAAATACAAAAAATTAGAGTGAACAAAAACAACATTAATGAAGTCATTACTAGCAAGATCCAAATTTAGTCACCCTCGTCATTTTAATTAAGCAATGACTTAATCAACGCACTCGAATAACACCAAATAAAGGTGGTGATTGTAGTGTTTGTTAATCAATCAGACAACCACATTATTATAAAATGAATTTGTGGATACAATTGTGACACGTGTATTGTAATTGACTTGTATAACGAGCAAATTATTCACGCCATGCAATTCATTGGTAAATATCCAAATCAACTTTGCTTCTCATAATTAGCCAATACTATAATGGCTGATAGAAGATTAACTAATTAATTACTATTGGAAGCAAAGGTAATTTAGATGTAACCTCATAAGCGTGAAACTCTTTGTTTTAGTGGCATGAGCTGTGATTTTGATTGTCACACTCATCAGTCCATTAGCATTGTGATGGTACATTAGATATGTCCACTTCCTATCACTGTCGAATGATTAATTTCTCAGCGGACATGCGCCACGGTGATTCAGAGTTTTGCTTTAACCTCCTATTTGACAAGCATTTAAAAAAGTTTTTTTCGAAAAAATAAATTTTTGAATAGTGAATTTTGAAGAATGTGTGATTAAAAAATAAGAAAAAAATTTAAATTTACATACAAAATATTTTATTTTGAGAATGTGAGATTGAAAATAAATTAAAAAAAAAATCTATTTTAGTGATTATCAAACTGGGGCGACTAAGTTTTAAAATACTAAGAGTGGTATACAGTTGCAATCTCCAAGTTAAAATTGTTTTTATACTACAGTTTTGACATACGTTTGGTCCCAATTTCTCAACATTCATTTTTTAAATTCACATTTCATGGATCAATAAATTTTATCAATTTTTTAATAGAACATTTAATCAACTTTTATCAAAATTTACTAAAAATTTAATTTAATTTTTTTATCCAAACCAAAGAGGAGTTTATTATTATTTTTGCACACGCCTTTTAGCTTTCAAACTTAATCTTGATTTGTTTAAGCTTAAAATAAATTTTTAGTAAATTTTGTTAAAAGATGATGAAACGTGTGATTAAAAAGTTGTGACTTCCATAAAATACATTTAAAATTAATTTTTGACTTTGACTTAAATTAACATTTTGATTTTAATTGATGGCAAACAGGGCTTAATAGGACATATTAAGGACTTGTTCGGTAGTGATTATGAGAATTGATTTTTTAACCGTTACAAAGAAAAGTGGGTCCTACCTGTGAGTGAAAAAGTTAGAAATGTTGACTGCAACAGTGAAATAATGGTCAAAAAATTGATTTTTTAGAGTGAAAAATTACTACCAAACATGCGCTAAATCTCACCCTTCACTATGCATATAATTATTATGCACCTATTTGATGCTCATTTTTTTTTCCAATTTTTCTCCATTATCTCATTCTTCTACAGTGTATATTCAGAGAAAATCTGCCACCCATTTAAAACCTTGTCAGACATGTTAAAAGTATGCAGACTGCCGTTGCAATTGTTGGACAAAATTGCCCTCAGTTGGTCCAAGACATTTACTTCACTGCCCTCCAAATTATTAACCCAGTAGTACATCTCTCTCATCGTCACTTGCGACTTTCCCATTTGGCTCTCCCTCCGGTAGATTGGTTTTCACAGTCGACCATTTGGATTCGTAGTTTCCGGTCATATTTCTACAATCTGTGCCTGACATCGCCTCCCTCCACCTCCTCTCCACCGAGCTTGGCGTTGACCTCAATCTTTGTCCGAGCGACAATTTTTCCACTGGCCACCGCAGCAACAAGGTAAACACCTTGGAAATGGCGAACGACGGATCTCATGGGTTTTATTATCCCGATCACATGGTGAGCAATTTCATCCCTCATTTTCCTTCGCTCACATGTTCGTTTGGTCCGATTTCCTCTGCCCATGTGTCGAAGTGTGCCCTCTTCCAACATTTTGTTCAAATTAACCGTGAAATTGCTTCCGGCCTTTGTAGTTATTTTCGTATTTTTAATTTTTGTAATGCCCGTTTTCAACAGTAGTTTGCTTGTTTATCCAGAATTTGTGTTAGGGTTAAGTAATTGATTCTAGCCATATTATTGATCGAATTGTTCAGTATATTTTCATGTTTTTTGTTTTGAGATTAGAGAATTTGTTGTTTGGTGTGCATTATCATGGTTAAAAAAATGGCAATAAGCTGCCACCACTTCGGTTTCAGATACAAAGAGCCGCATATGTTCCTGTCTGAGACGTTGTTGCAATTTTTTTGTTTACAGTACTATAGTGTGGGCTCGCCAGACCAGTTTGACTATCCATCACAGAACCCGCATGAGCCTCAGCCTGTCGTCCGTAAGACTGCAAGATGGGACCCGACGGAGCATAGAATCTTCATCGATGTCTGCGAAATTGTCATTGCCGAGGGGCATCGACGCGGCAAATGCTTTTCATCTACGGGGCTGGCTACATATCCATGAATTGTTCAATAGCACAGCTGGGAAGGACTGGACTGTATCTCAGCTTAAAAATTTTTGGGGTAAACTGCGAATGGACCACAAGCTTCTCTTCGAGCTGCTAAAATCCATTGGCATTCAATACCAGTCGAAAATTGGTACAATCATTGGCCCCAAGCACTGGTGGAAAGCAAAAATAAAGGTACACGATAACACTCCCCTTCGTTGTTCCTCAGCTTAGTGACTTTTAGAAGTAGAAGAAGTGAATGTGTTAGAGTAATGTAGTGGAGCAATGAAATACAAGTTCGATGTATAACACTAAGTTGTATAATGACAATTTTGAAGTTTGGCATATATGTTGGCTACAGTATGCGTATTTGGAGTTTTGGGCATATATGTTTGCTATGAAATACTTATTTTGAGTTTTTGTGAATTCACTTGCATATTTGTACGAATGTGATATTCACTTAATGCTCTTCCAGCGTTACGAACAAGAGCCTTGATTGAAATCTGGATTTGAATTTGGTGTACAATAGACATATAAATGAACTTATGTGTTATGTAAGAATTTGAACGTTTATGATCAACTCGATGAACATGAGCTTCGGTCTTGAAAATGTTAGCTTCACCTCTCTGTACTATGATGAAAAATGAGTTATATGATGCCTTCAACTTCATTTTCTTTGTGATACGAAATGTCTTGGACCTGGTCTATCAATTTCGTCATAACTCAAACTTTGTGATACCGTCATTTGATTTACGTTATTGTTGCAACACATACGTTTTTCTAGTACTGTCGTTGATGTGGAATGTTACCAACTACGTACTGTCAATTTCGTCATAAAGCAAATTTTGTGATACCATCATTCGGTTAACGTTATTCTTGCAACACATACGTTCTTCTAGTACTGTCGTTGATGTGGATTGTTCCAACTACGTACATTTCTCTTTTACTGTCACATGACGTCCCTTTTTTCGTGTTACATGTCCCTTTAAGAGAACCGAAAATACGTCAAGTACAAGAACATGAACTGCAGTGAGATCTATGACATGTATGGAAAATTGTTCGGTGACGCGGGGGATTCCACCAAATACGTACTATTCCCATCAAAGTCGTCACAGTGAGGATTCGATTTGGGCACAGATAGCGATACGGACGATGGGGTGACAAGTTTCCCATCAATTCAGAAGGTACAGATTCCAGTGACAGTCCGGTCGCCTATAGAGCAAACTCGTCCATGAACATATCCGGGAATCGCAGCGGAGATAAAAGGAAAAGCAGACACGGGAAGGATAAAGGAAAGAGGAAAAAATACAGTGCAAGAAAGGTTTCAGATGGTGAGTGTTGGAACGGATCTTGCCTCCATCGTAAGATCGCATCAGAAGGACAACATGTCTGTCGATGACTGTGTGAGCGAACTACTATCATCAGGACACGTGGAGGAGGGGTCGCCGCTCCATATGTTTTCTTTGTGGTTCTTACGTGTCAAGGATAATCGAAATTCGTACCGTGCTGCCAAGACACCTTTCCTGAGATTAAAATTTATTGAGTATTGCTTCGAGGGCGACAATCAGCCCTTCCCACGTAAGGGGTGATCGATAGTGGACCTATTTATGCACAGTGGTCTTTATTTCTTCTACTTATTAATATTTTTCGTTCTTGTGTGATGGACATTTTTATTTTTCATGTACTTTTTTTTGCAGACAAATTGTCATTGTAGATTTCAATTGAACTGTTATTGTTATCTTCCTTTATCTACTACGAATCTAAATTGCATAACAATTCATGCATGCTTGGGAATTGTGTGCTTTTGCAGGGAGTTTTGTAGGGAATATATTACCTGCAAAAGCATGATAAAGTAGGTGAGAAGTTGAAATGATGGGGAGAACATTGTCCAAAAGTTCATGAGTAGTGAAGTTTTCTATAAATTAGTTAGGAGTCCCATTAAACTGCTCAAACGTAGAGATGTTGATAGGATGCGAAGGCTAGTATAAGAAACCCAAACAATAGTTAGCATTTCTTACGAATTTTTTTTCGGGCTACCTTCCCGTTCGAAGTCACAACCTTCATACATTTATATCACCAATCATAAAATTATTTTTCATGGCGGCCCACTCAGCACGTACGTACGCATTGGAAGCAACAGATGGTGACATCGAGCATATGTCTGATTGGGGTATGAGTTCTGATGAAGATGTATTGTGGCAGCTGGAGGAGGACATAATCACGTGGCTGGAGTATTGTGAAATTGCTGAGCACATTGTGCGCGATTACTTGGCACCAAATATCGCTCATAGGTATTTGTTTCCGACAACGCGATGTGGTCACATTTTCATGTTACAAAACATGCACGTTTATCCGCAAACGTGGTTTCAGGAGTTCAAGATATATCCTCCGATGTTTATACACTTCATGCATATTCTGCGCGATGAATATGGAATGTAAAGCAGTGCAAACATAGATGTGTACGAGCAGGTCGGCATGTTCTTGTATATACTGGCGCATGGGAAAGGATATCGGCAGGTGCAAACTCTATTCGGGCATTCGTTGCAGACCATATGTCATTATTTTAAAAAGGTTTTTTGGGCATGCCTTGCGTTCAACGTGAACATGGTAAAACCAGATCCGAGGTACAACAAAAGCACATGTCACCATCATCCGAATTCGGAGTGCTATCCACTATTTCAGGATTGTATAGGTGCAATCGACGGTACACATGTGAGAGCTGTATTGCCGAGACACCAACGAAACAATTTTATTGGTAGAAAAGGGATTCCAACACAAAACGTGTTGGCCGCATGTGGTTTCAATCTTTGTTTCACGTTCATATTATCGGGCCACTCAGGGAACACGCGTGATAGTCGAATCTTGTCCCGAGCTGTGCATAGTCAGGATGTCAATTTTCCGGTTCCGGCGAACGAAAAATATTACCTTTGTGGACTTAGGGTTCGCACACAGGCCGGGGTATATGGCTCCCTATAAGGGTTCTGACATTCGATACCATTTTCAACAATTTCGTGATGTGGGAGATGGGCGACGGCGCCGTTTTCAAAATGCACGTGAACGATTTAATTTTCACCACTCCTCCTGTCGAAACGTGATCGAACGTGCATTTGGTGTTTGGAAACAAAGGTGGAAGATTTTTGATTGGATGCCTGGGTACAGTATGCGTACGCAAACTGCTGTGGTTGTGGCCATGATGGGAATACACAATTTTCTTCGTAGGAACGAGCGTATGGACGAGGGGTTTCGTAGAGCAGAAGAAGTGGAGGACGAAGAAGTTGAAATAGAGCTACCAGACGAAGAAGATGAAATCGCCGTCGAGCGAGATGCAATAGCCAAGGACAATGTGTTGTGGTACGCACTACGCGATTATATGGCACATGCACTACGTTAGTAGTTTAGCGTGCATTCAGCTGAAATTTATGTACGTTGTATGTATTTGTACTGCATTTAATCCTGTTGTCGTCGCTTGACACGTCACATTGTTTCCTCGTGTCGGAGCATTTCACTTATGGTTCAATCCCTATTACGTTGTTCGATGTAATCAAAATTGGTGTGTGTCGTGGACGGTAAAATACTACTTTGGTTTAAACATTGCAAAACGGTTGTTTACCGTCCCCATATAGCAAAGTAGATTGCAAAAATAAGGGTGTGTTCTCTTTCATGTTTTCGACTCGTTTTCTGTTTTCGATTTTCCAAAATGATGGAAATGTGTTCTCTTTCACGTTTCCGAAAATGAAGTTTTGAAAACAAACTTACAATACCCTCTTTGTTATGTTTCTTTGTTGACACTAGCTCCCATTTAGTTTTGTTAAAAGTTATACTTTCATGAAATATGTATTTGAGAAATTGATAAAAATTATGGATCTGATAAAATATGTGATTAAAATTAATTGTTGTGTTTGACCAAGATTTTTAGCAACATTTTTTAACTAAGGACTAAGTATTATACTTATATGATTAACTACTTTTTTTATTTTTATTTTAACAAGTGATGTTATACATATGGCGTGAGCGATGAGATTCGTTAAGAAAAAAGAAGGAATTATTGGCAAATTAACATTGATCAACTTGAATAGTGGCCGGCTAAACAT